GAATTTTCGTGATACTTTGCCCAAATTCACCCTCCATGTGAGGGTGAATTTGACCAAATTAACAACAACAACAACTATCTGCACATTAAGTTTCAGTGACCTTTATTTGGTATTCCTAGAAAATTTAAGGATCGTATTTTTTCCCCATACAAACACTGTAATTTTACTGGAACCGTACCGTAGTACTATCACAGAGAGCCTGGGTTACCTGCTGTCACACCTGCTTCTCGTTAACAACAGATCATGAGGTGATCAAACTTTTGTGGTGAAGAACTGAGAGAAAATAACAACTGTGCACGGCTTCTCCCTTCGAGTTTGAGACCCCATATTAGAATTTGTTACAGTCAGCCCAAAGTGAAGGTTGTAGCCAGAATTTGAGACTGAAAATTTATAATTAAACAACAGCAAGAGACCATTCTTTCTCAGCTCTCTTGTGGACATAACAAAAGTTAACAAGTTAACAAGTTATCAATACTTGCGATGAGAACCTTATAATATCTGTGGGCAACCAGGAGGCTGGGTTGGAGGGGGGGGGAGGGGAATTAGCATCATTTTATATAGGAGTAGCCTGCAAAGCAAGTGTATTTTGCAGCGCAAATGATTTGGACGTTGAACTGACAGAGATTTGCGGTGAGTCAAAAAACAATTCCAAGGGAGAGGTTGATGGGTCAAAAATAATAGGGGAGGGGAGGGAAAAAACAATTAATATGCAGACCAGTTTAATGACTCCTAAATGTGAGACTAGTGGCAAAAGTAAGATTTGCTCAGTCAAATTTTGGAACACTCCATTGCATTATACAATCTGCCTGCTAAAAAGAAGAAAAACCTCTAATTCTCTCTGGCAAACCCTAAGGTCACACTTCACACTACTGTACCAAGAGCTTATGGGTCATGTTTGGCCTGTCAACACTTATATTTCCATCAATGTTGGAGTAAACTTGTGGCTTCAGGAAAAATAAATGAACTCAATTTTCATTGGCTCCGAATGCATTTCCGGAAATGCAGTCAGTTGCAACTAATTAGGGGGGCATTCGGCAATTTCATAGACTCTTCTGGCAGGCATTTTTTCCTCTTTTTCCCAACCCTCATCCTTGCCTACCCCTCCTCCCTTAGTTTTCCAGTGGGTTTTAGGATGGCGGCTGAGATCAACGGTCCTCTGGGTTGCGCTGTCATTAAAAAAATGCCTGCTCTGCGGGCTAATACAGAATACTCAGCCCTGAAGTCCAACCCCTAAACCTATTACATTCTCTCTTTTTTACAACAATATTGAAACTGAAATTTGCAAAATTTTAAGAATATTTTAAGAGATGAGATTTTGAAAAGGATGTAATTTTGTGTGCTGAAAATCTGAATTATATGTTTTTAACTTAACTGTATATAATTTATTGCTCCCTCTCAATGGCATAACTNCCGGAAATGCAGTCAGTTGCAACTAATTAGGGGGGCATTCGGCAATTTCATAGACTCTTCTGGCAGGCATTTTTTCCTCTTTTTCCCAACCCTCATCCTTGCCTACCCCTCCTCCCTTAGTTTTCCAGTGGCTTTTAGGATGGCGGCTGAGATCAATGGTCCTCTGGGTTGCACTTTCATTAAAAAAATGCCTGCTCTGCAGGCTAATACAGAATACTCAGCCCTGAAGTCCAACCCCTAAACCTATTACATTCTTTCTTTTTAATAAGAATATTGAAACTGAAATTTGCAAAATTATAAGAATATTTTAAGAGATGAGATTTTGAAAAGGATATAATTTTGTGTGCTGAAAATCTGAATTATATGTTTTTAACTTAACTGTATATAGTTCATATTACTCCTTCTCAATGGCATAACTACCCAACGAAACGAAGAAACCTGCACTAGCTACATGTACATGTATAGCCAAATGTTAAATGCTAATGACAGTGCCGTCCATGAAAAATGGGCTAAGTTCCAAACAAAAACACAAAAAAACTCAGAAGTTGATTTGGTGACCCATACAGGAGATTAGAAGATTTTTACCATTATTCTGGGATAAACTGGGGGATTTGAGTGTAAAATTTGTCGAATAAGGAAAATAAGCTTTGCTTTAACAGTTCCACACAAACATTAAAAGAATAACGTTGCTTCCTGATGGAGTGTATAGTCCATTAACTACTCTTAATGATCTGTAACAGTGCAGCAGTATTGGACATGACTGTTCTTTGAACGAGCCAAATCGCCCATTTTACAGTTACAGGTGAAAACAAGGGTGGAGTTGACCTTGTTTTGATTCAACCCTTTTTGCTTTTTTATGTAAATCGCATTGTTCTCATATGCTAACTAGTGTTTTTCAAGAATAATTCCCATTATTAAAGGGAAGAGGTTTGTATCAAAACAAGGTCAACCTCAGCCTCACGTACATCCAAAGTCCTTGAATACTAAGTCCACAACTGTAAAATGGTCTATTATACATATCTATGAAACCATTGAACAACTGAGGCCGGGCGAATAGCATATAATATTAAAATAACTACAACAGACATTTATATCATTGATGAAAGCAATAAAGGAAGAGTTATTTATTTAAAAGAAGAGCACTTTGAAAGAAACCAAACCTTTTGAAGGTAGAGACTAGACTGAGATAATTCAAGCTGGGCAGATTTGAAATATTACTGTACAAGTTATCAATTTTAAACAAACTGTAGTCCCGTTTTAAGCAAATGAACAAAGACTGAACTTTTTTGTCAATCTCTTTAATAAGGTCGTAAACTATCTTTTGGCAAAGTTGCGGTTTTGGGTATAAACTATCCCTTTCAGCTTAAATGAAGCGATCAATCTATCGATCCATGCTTGGCATGGCGAATAAGAAGTTTTGATCCAGAAAAAGATTGAAAAAAAAAACTTACCGTCCTTAGGAATAAATTTGTTCAGTCAGGTGCATTATCCCCACAAGGAAACGATTCACTCCAGCTTGTATTGCCAGGGAGCAAGTTCTATTGTCAGGAATGCCTGAAAGAGACTTCCCGCAAATTTTCCTCAAACAGTAGAAAAGGCCAGGCGTTCCTCGCTAGTCACCAGACTCCTCATTCAATCGCCTTTCTCTATAGCGGTGCATATAGTCTGACATACATGAAGTACTTACCCATATTATGAAAACGAGACAAACAGGCTAATTAGGGTATATTTTGTTGGTAGTGGTGCTGTTTTCATAGTGCAGTTATTTTGGCCGAAAGGTGGAATAAACATGATTAAAAGAAGATCTGGCAATGAATTGACGCAAGAGAGTTGGAATAAGGTTCTTGCAATCAGGCATTCTTTTTTTTTTCTTTTTTGCCTCCCAACAGAAAAGGAGTGGACTGACTGATTGCAAGGTTACTTAATAGTCGAAAAGAGACGCAAGATTTTTTAGCCAATCAGAGAGAAAGAAAAAACTGTCAAAAGACCACTGCCATATTGTTGTTTTTGGAGGCAGTCATTTATCCTGCATTACCCTTGATGTTACGCTATCATATTAGAGAGAATAAAAGAAAAAGCAAACTCCTTTTTTCTCCCAGAACTATGGTGCTTTGTCAAAGCCAAATTACTCTCCATTTTCCCATCCTTGATTAGAGGGAGAGGGGGAAGGGTGGGCTCAATTTTCTGTCCACAGTGGAACCTCTCCTTTGGGACAGCTCCATTCGAAGGACACAAATTTGGTCCTGGAAAAATGTTCACATAGTCTTTGTATTTGTTGTACTCTATTGAAGGGAATCCTTTATTCAGGAGAAAGGGACACTTTTTCTGGGTCCCCAAACTTGGCTTTAACCTCCATCCAGGGGACACCTTATCACTCAAATTTGACTGAGTCCCCAAAAATGGTTAATAAGTTTAAGAATTCCCCTTGTCACAATGGTGACAGCTTTCAAACCATGAACTATCCCACCTAAATGGATGTACTGCACTTGCGAGAATTCAACACACAACATCGCAAAGATGAGTTAATCATGATTGTTTATGCATTATGTAGATGCTTGCATCAGATTCCAAGGCAGAATAAAAGAAAAAATATTTTATTTGTTGATTAATAATTAACAAACTGCAGCACAACTTCCAATCAGGGGACACCTCTATTCAGGGGACACTTGACTTGGTCCTGAGGGTGTCCCTTTGGGTTCAATTTAATAATACTTTTACAAGTATAATTTACAAGTGTAGCCATTGTTTTTGGACCCCAGAACAATAGCTACAGTTGTAAATTATACTTGTAAAAGTTTATTAAATTGATCCCTGAATAGAGGTTCTACTGTATTTTATCCAAGACTGTAATTCCAGGTAACAATAAACAAAATTGTGGGGGTTTGGGAGGGGAGTGAGAAGCTCCCAGAATGCAAGAGTTCTGCATGTCAAAGTGAATTGTCCCTTACTGATGCAACAAAAACAGTCGCTTTGGAAAATACTGAAAACAGACCTGCAAAGAACAATAAGCCATAGGATAGACATAGCAAGCAGACTTTATTCACAGAGATGTATCAATACTTGGAAAATTGTACAGACTACTTATAAAACTCGTGCTCTTGTTCATCTTTCTTGACATTGTTTTTGTACCCTTTCTCAAAATCTTTAGCCAGAATGACGTATCGATTTTCCCTGACAGCCTGCATTCCAGCCTAAAAACAAAACAAGGCAGAAAGGAATGTTACTCATCTTATCTTCAAGACAAATAAACAAAGATCAGAACATTGTCAACTACAACATGTAGGAGCAAAGTTGAGAAGGCACAATGAGTAAAACCTCACATAACCTACATTTTAAGTGGAAACAGCTTTGTGTGCATTTCTCAAACAAAGTGCTGCTCTAAATATTTACCTCTTGACAAATGGCATTGATGTCAGCACCACTGATTTTGTCTGGTCTTGCAACATCTGTTATCAAATGAGTTAAGGATATTTTTTTTTGTATGCTGCACTTGACAATTGGTCCAACATCAGCATTTTCAAAAAATAAGCTTCCAGTAACAAGCACAACATGTCTTCCACAGTTGCCACATTTCATATATTACTTTTTTAAAAGTGGCAAAGCGGTACAAGTCTGTGCTTGAAGGCTATGTAAGGCTAGAAAATTATCTTTCTTGAAATCTTTGCAAGACGTTTTCACTCAAAACTTACAGCACCTTTTACACCCACCCTTTAAGACTTAAAATATTAATATACAGTTGAAACCCGCTATTTTGAAGTCCCAAGGGAAATGAAAAAAAGTTCGAAATGGCGGCGTTTCAAAATAACTGGGGAAGCATAAAATTTGTAACAATGAATCATTTTTTAAATAAAATACAGTACAGTATGGAGAAAGACACTGATTGAATAAAAATACAGTAATCCAGATTTCATACATGAGTATTTCAGCCCGAAGAATAGTTCGCTAACAGTGCGTTTTGTTTTGTAATTGAATAACAAAGCTGGAATTTCTTAGCGGGACACTGCACGTGAGTCAAGTATTGTTAAGTCATTGATTACGCAACACGAGCTCAAATAAAATGCGATATGTTTCCAGCTGTGCTCTTATGTACGTACTCTGTTTTTGACAAGTTTGAAATAACGGGGTTGATTTAAGGTGCAGGGAACGAAAGATGAGTTTGAAATAGGGGTGAATTCGAAATAACCCAGTTCGAAATAGCTGATAGTAAATAACTGAAAACATGAGGGTAAATCCAAGGGAATTCAATCTTCCTTCAAAATAGTGATTACTTCGAATTAACTGAGTTTGAAATTGCGGAGTTCGACTGTACATGAACATGAAAGTTAACCAAAAAAAAACTATGCTTTTGTTGCTGTGTTTACCACATCTCTATTACATGTATCTTGTCTTCACTTCAAGGGAAATTAGTACACCCAAAAAATTTTTCCACGACTTCCTGCTTTCACATCATGAAAGCATGCTCCATTGAAAGAGCTGCTGAGCAAAGTTTTACCCAACGATGACAGAACAGAATAAAGACTCTGTTGTATTCTATTAAAAACGGAAAGGATACAGTCCTCCAGGTCCACTTCCTCTGACAGGTTCATTTTTGCTGTGATTGTAGAGAAGATAAGGCGCTTTTGTCTTCTGTCAGGCATGGGAAACTCAATCTTGCGATCCAGGCGCCCAGGCCGAAGAAGGGCAGGATCAAGAGTGTCATGACGATTTGTTGCCATGATGACCTGATAGTTAATAATAATAATTAGTTACAAATAATATACAGCGATACTGAAACAAGTTTCTGCTGTATAAACAGGAAGAATTATGAAGTTCCGGCAGCCGGCTAAAAAAACAGCTACTTGGCAAAGTAAAAGAGTGAAAGCCTTAAATTGCCTACAAAACTCAATTGGCAAGCCACCTACTTTTACATCCTAGCAGCCTGTCTACTTTAAAACTTTATAAGAACCCTTTGTAAAAGTAACACAATATGAAAACCTTTCAAGAGGAAGGTTATATTTACTGTTAACTTGTGCATTATATTTGGCTTCTGACTTAACCAAAATGGGATTTGTTGTACCTTGTATTTTATTGGGGTTCATTATGTTAGCAGTAAACTTTGTTAAACCTGAGTGGAAAGATCTAATGCAATGGAGGTTACCATCTAAGGAAATAATAATTAAATGTCACTATCTGTACCGTACCTTAACATTAACATTCTGATCAAAGCCATCCATCTGATTTAGCAACTCAAGCAATATTCTTTGTACCTCTCTGTCAGCTAAGGAAACACACAAAAAAACAATACATGTCACTTATTAAATTAAAAATAAACGTTTTTAAATAAGTGTAACATACATGTAAGAACTTCCTATATCCCCAAATACAATTCTGATAATAACAAATGATAATCTAGAGATTTCAACTTTTTTTTAAAAGTCTTATACAAGTTTCAATCAACCTCCCTTACCTCATCTGAAAAATGGTTGCACAGTTTTGACAGGCTGTAAAAAGGAAGTCATAATGCTTTACATTTAAATGATTATGACCAGTGTGCATTGCCATTGGATTAGTGAATTCTGTTCTTAACTTGCTGACAGACAAGTGAAGTTTTGTAGGGAATTCAAATTACAAAAGAACTGTAATCAATCCTGCTCATAAAAATTTTTTCAGCTTAGTTTATTGACTTTTGAGCTACATGTAGTGCATGCTAGATACAGCTTACCCGAAAGGCAGTGGCTTTCTTTTCACCCTGATGACACAGTTTAAATATAATGCATTTAGTGACAAGCTAATGATATCAATTTTCTCACCTCCCGTCTGGGCATCAAATCTCTTGGTAGCGATTGCATCAATCTCATCAATGAATATTATAGCTGGAGCATTTTCTTTAGCTAAACGGAACACATCACGGACCATTCTTGGCCCTTCACCAAGATACTTTTGAACAAACTCTGAACCAACAACACGAATAAAAGCAGCTGTGGTGTGATGGGCCACTGCTTTTGCTAACATGGTCTTGCCGCATCCTGGAGGACCGTACATCAACACACCCCTTGGAGGGTCAATTCCAATTTGCTTGTAAAGCTCGAAATGTGTCAGCGGAAGTTCAACCGCTTCTCGCATTTCCTGCTTTTGAATGTCCATCCCACCTATGTCTGAGTAAGCGACATTTGGTTTTTCATCAGCAGTTAACATGGCTATACTACTGTCTGCTTCAGGGGGAAGGACATCAACAAGAGCATTAGAGTGCTTGTGAAGAGCTACAGAGGCACTTGGTTTCAGCAGCTCTCGATCAATTGTGCTGAGAATGCGAATATAGTAATTGGAACCTGGAGGGAAACAATAACAAAAGATTAATAACTAATGTGAAATAATCCACTTACAGAGAAACCTACTCTATGTTCCATGGAGAAGTAAACTTTAAAAGTTGAATATTTTAAAGTTGAGTTCATTATTTGTTTCAATTCTTCAGCTATAGACAAAGACATTTAAACCAAAATTGAACTCAATATTGGATTACATGTAGTTCAAATTTTATTTTTCTTGGAATGTTTTAGAAGGTTTCACTGTAAGTAAGGCTATAGTAATTCAGAGTAAAACACCCAAAACTCAATCACAGCTTTCTGAGATAATGAAGACAATTTCAACATTGCCATTCACCTGGAGTTAGAGAAGCTAGTGTTATGTATGTTTGCGCTTTGGTTAAAACTTTTCATTTTCAAAGACGGATATGGAGGTTTGGAATTAGTTAACTTCTTACCTGTAGTAGAACCAACAATTCCTGTGTTTTGATCAACAGCCTCAAGAAACTGACCGATAACCAAAGGAACAGACTGGATTCTTTTTACTTCTTCTTGTGCATGTAGTAACTCTTTTTTAAGATTCTTCTGCTCATCCTTTATGTATTCTTCCTGGACTTTTAAAAATTCAAGTTGGGCCTGAAGTTTCTTGTATTTTGTGTACAGGTCTTCTACATCTGGGTCGACAGAAGACAGTGAACTACTTGCCGCAGTAGTTGGTCTGCTTGAATCCTGAACAGAACATTTCAAAAGTATTTCAAAACCGACTTGCACACTTGGACAAACAAGAACCAGTGTTCTAAACATATCTTTTTACAACATTGACTTTGGGTGACCTAACTAATTTTTGTCAGACATAAAAATTAATTATAAATTAAAACGATAAACTCTGATGACTTTAAGCGTTTAAATCAAGCGTTCGGAATTTGGCTGGATTTCAATAACGAATCTACAGAATCTTTTTGTACAACGACGACAAGCAACGTGACAAAGCACCTTTTACCACTCAATGACAAAACATAGTAGAAAGGAAAAACTCAAATTTTAACGATAGTTCCATCGAAATTATCCTAGGTCTCCCTAAAACTACTACTTAGCTCTCAAAGTACGTGAATAAATTTACTATAACTTCACATATCAAAGCAAAAAGGAAAGAAAACCAAACTAACCTGACTCTGTACAGAGATACCTATTTCCTCCATTTTGGATTTTTTTCCACGGCTCGGAAGTTCCCGGATGAAAAACCGCTGTCAAGAAAAATTGCGGTAGTACTCGACATTTTCGTACCCAGATTATCCTCGGTCTCATTTGGAGGTATCCGATATTTTAATATCCGATACGGCAGGGCAATTTTTATCACGGTCACGGTTTTGCCGCTCACTTAGCACGTTTGCGCGCCCGAAACCGCCTGCTACGCAAGCTAGAACTAGAAAATGTAAGTCTTCATACCACTAAACAATTTTCCACAAACGATATCCTATCTAATTCTGGACCTTATACTACTACATGAAAAATTCCTGCAATTTGATTGGCTTAGATCAGTGGTATTTCAGCTTAATTTGAAATACCTACATGTGAAAATTACAAACCTTTTGTGGGTACTAGTATAAACATATAATAGCATGATTTGTACTTGATATTTGGCATGAATACCACTCATGATATTTCAAAATTGCCTCAAATTTCACTCGCCTAACGGCTCATGAAATTACGTATAACAGTTTTAAAATATCACTCGTGGTATTCATGCCAAATATCACTACAAATAATGCTATTACCTATACAAATTATCGGAATTTTGTAGCCTACCCCGGGCGATGAAAACCATACCCTTCCTAAACAGGAGACCGGTACCGAACGTACTTATACAAGAGTTTGTATGAGAAGAAAAAAGAAAACAGAAAACAACCAACAAATAGACTTCTACAGGAAGACTTCTAAGACAAGTACAAACTGGACACCTGATTTTTTTTCGAATTTTTCGGGGGATTTCCTTTACTTTTTAAGGTCAGGTAAAAAAAAATCCAAATGGCGCAAAAAGAACGCAACTCGAAGTAACGTTCAATATTTGTATAGACCCATCTCCCCGACGGGCCTTTTTAGGACGTTCGACTCTATCACATGCTCTTTGATGTTATTTAGATTGCGTAAGACGCGTTTCCGCGCGAGTTCGTCGAGAAAATCATTGCCACGAGGGCAACTGAAAAGGAATGAAGGAGAGAGGGAGGCGGGCGGGAGGAGGAGGACACGCTTGCCCGCAAACTCCACCATTTTAAAAAACTGCGTTTGCCCACGAACGCAACTTCTGATTGTTGCAAAGGATTGTTGCGGCACTGTGAGCGATCAATACATCAATCAGACCAAGTAAGTTTTCTTTTGTTTGTTTTGTGCAATAACTCGATTGGAAAGCTAACAGGCAGCATACAGTCGTACGTCATTCGAGAGCTTAGCAGGATCTCACTCGACGAGGCAGCTGACGAGGAGCCACAGGGGGAGCTGGAGGCGGAATTCAAATTCCTGATACGTTACTGTAACAGCCAAGCTCTCCTTTTTTTTTCTCTCCGCTGCCAGAGCGCCCCTTAGAGCTTCTTGCCAGCAGGCTAATCCCTCACTTTCAAAGCCCTAAAGTCTCTGAGAACTGGAGAGTCATGAAGGAAAACCCAAAAAAAAACAAAAAGAAAACCAAACCGTACCTTAGTGAATCAGCCCCACTGGATCAGATATATCCAACAGCCATCTCTACGTGATGTTACCCCGGGGTGCCTCCGGGTTCTGTGCCTGTACACGTCATTGACGTCTTACATTCAACAACAACATTTATTGGCATTTCCACGAGTAGATGGCATTGCCGATGATGTCATATACTGTTCACAGTCCCCTATTTTTTGTGAGATCGTTTAGATATACCGCGTCTTACCGTCACGGCTATCTTGATTTTCAAATGTACCGAGGGGGCGGGCGTCGGGGATTATGGCTCGGCGTGGGGAGAGGGCGAGAAAAATAGAGGGACTGTAATGACATCACTGCAGCTCGCGTTCACGAAGCGCGTTGTACCAGCAACGCAGGCGTTTGATTGGTCATTAGACAATAGATGTTAATTTTCGTTGACAACGGGTTTCGTTTAAGTTGCTGTCATTAACAAGTCCACGTTTTCATCAAACGTACGCTTTTATACCACGTACGCTTCCTCCCAAACCGCCCTCGCCCCCCCAGGTAGTTTTGACACTCATGCAAGATGGCAGCCCGTAACACAAAGCTCTCGATCTCGATGATCTTACGGAAAAATAGAGGATTGTGAATAGTCTAATGATGTCAAGGTAAAAGAAAAAAGAAAAGAAAGAAACATTTATTATTGTAAATAATAATAATAATAATAATAATAATAATGGCTAAAATTACATGGAAAATGCTAACTATATTGTAGCTATGTTTAATGATCTACTTTCAAGTTTTTCGAAGGCCAGAAAAATAAAATGGCCAAGTTTCTTCTGGGGATCCTGGGGGCACCCAACGACTGTTTTCTGCAAAATATCAGTTCGGAGAAGCGAAGATTGCCTGGAATTTTCTATTACTTGAGGACGGCTAAAAATTTCTAGATGACAGTTCCATTCACATACAAATTTCGAAGCTCATCTAATAAATTTCCTAAGATTTTCTGAAGTTTAATACTTCGACATTTCACTCCCCAGATTAGGCTATTTTTTGTAGAAAAAAGGAAACCTAAAATTTTCAGATTCAAAAATGTGATGGAAAGAGGAATCAGAAAAATTCTCTCTTTCGTAATATGTTAAATGGCATCTAAAAAATTCGGGAAAATACTACTGAATCCCTTGTAATTTCGAAGACTCGAGTTCCCCTAGGATGACCGAACAAATTTTATAGCGCCGCTTAGAATGCATTTCTAGAGATCTAAAAGTACTCTGGATAGCCTTAAAAGAGTTTTCAATGTATTTAGGAGGAAACCGTCGTTGGGTACCCTTGTTTCTTGCAGACAAAGGGATCTACATTATTGAAGACAAAAATAATCATGTCGTTTGCACTCAATGAGTGAAAATTAGGATATTTGTGACTTATAGAATCAAGGAGATATTGTCTTTCATTAAGGTAAAGAGTGCAGTTTAGCATGAAGTGTTGCTCCTCTTCGATTTCATTTAAAGAACAGTATTGACACAATCTGAGATGTTCAGGAATTTTGGGCGTGCAGTATCTCCCGTATTCTATAATTATTTATGATTGCTTGTTCTAAATTTTCAATGACGTTTCAACGCATTTTAGCGCGTTGCTTCGGAAGCGATAAGATTTTAAAGATGTATAAATACTGGATCATGCACGTGCCAAGCTCCACTAGCTGAAAGCTGTAGGCTGCGTAGGAAAAAACTGTCTTCAGGATGGCGAATTTTTTGGTGTCGGTGGCTTTTCTTGCTTTTGCCGCGTTGATGAGTGGGTGTCATGCTAACTCTGACCTTTCTATTACTGGATATGGATCCTTTGAAATTGCCATGCTGAGACACGGAGAGAAATACGCAACAAATAGAGACTGCTACACATGGGAAGATGTCCCACCATTGTACCATGGCATGACTCACATTCGAGGGCTCAACGATAAACTTGGGATCATAACATTCAAGGTCAGCGTCCCAGTTATCATTTACCTTGCCATTGATTCCCGTTATTCTTACATCCACGGTGCCGACTACGAAGTCACGGAAGATTTGGTGATGCTGGGGGGATGCCACAAGCCGAGGGTTAAGTTCCCAATCTACAGGAGCAAGAACGTCCACGGTCCGGGACTGGTTTCCATAAATTTTAAGTCTTCTCGTATGACAGGCATCTTTCTACGGGGCAACGCCTACCAGGTTCGTCCCTACGCCGAACTGAAAGTTACCTTCCCCAGTACCCCCCGGGAGATCAGCATGGTCAGAGAAGGGGAGAAATTTAGCACCAACCGGGCCTGCTACACGATGGAGGACATCCCTCCCAAATACGACGGATTAACGCATCTCCGGGGTCCGAACGACGAGAGGACAATCACCTTTGATGTAAACATACCGGTGATTGTGTACGTGGCTATAGATTCTCGCTTACATCGCAACACGATTTTACCTTCGACATTCATTGCAACCGGAGAGAAGATTGTACATGGTGGGTGTCATGCGCGCACTGACTTTCCTATATACGAGCGGAAGTACCCGAGTGGGGGAACTGTGACCGTCCCACTGAGCGAATCCCGGATGTTGACGATTATGGTGAAACCGCTGATTTGATTGTTGGACAGATGCGTCATGTAATGTTTTGCTGAAGTTGCTAAGAACAATAATGATGATAATAATAATAACAACAACAATAATAATAATAACGATGACGATGATGGTGATGATATGGTGATGAAAATGATGATGATGATGATGATGATGACAAGAATGACAATGATGGAAACAAATAATACAGCAGACGCTTCTTCTCTAGCTGTTATTAATTATGAGAAGTCCGAGTACCATACTGCCAAACTGGTGCAACGGGTTACTGTATTTCAAAACAACATTCAATTTGGGCTGATCAGACCAGTCTTATAAAGGTTTGAGCTGCTACTAATTAAATTAAGGTGGATTACAATATTAAATAAATATAATAGAACAAAATGTCGCAGTACACAATTCTTTAGGGAGGGGCCATTATACAAAAAGAATTCAACTCCAGGCAAATTCGCCAAAAGTTGACAAAGTAAACGAGATGCTTGA